CTGCTCAGCGGGAATGGCTGTCACTAGAGCAACAGCCTACTGCAGCCAAGTCAACTTGCCAGAAGAGCTTCCAAGTGCATGCTTGCCCTCCGTGCATGTGTGTAAACAGACCCATTTAGCATGGCAGAATTAGCTACTGCACAGCTCAAGGACTGGTAAAGAGCTTCCATTACAAGGCAAGTATCCTGGCTCCCTTCAGACTGCAGAAGCTGGCCTGGAACAGGACTGAATGGCTGAATCCAGAAGCAGCTTTATGAAAGGGAGCTGTCTGGCTGCAAAAACCTGGACAACATCCATGTCCTTAAAGGGAGCATTTATGCATGTGTGCTGGGAACATCCTCAATGTTACTCTTCTAGAATGGGATACTTGCTATTCACTGATCTGGCAGCGCTGATCAAGTGCCAGAAATTTCCTGGGATGTAATTCCACGGATAGGCAACAAGAGATTCCAGTTTTCCTCCTGTCCTTTCCAAGAAATTTGGCTAGGAGTCTGTCCTCACTTCATGTAGGGTTTCCTAATACCTCTTTCTTGTAAGAAGCTCTCATTACTTTTAGCAAAGGCTTTGAAATTAAGAGATCTGAACTTTGACAGTGTCCAGAACAAGTATTTTTGGTACTAATAATCTGGCAGCCTAAGTTTTTCAGGTTAATAATATATGCAGGGATGCCATTATTTAACTCACCAGCTGTGAAAGTGAGTTCAGGAATATAGTCTAGGTTTCTGGAGTGTGCTGACTACATACCAAATTTTAAGACAAGCAACCCCAGGAGAGAGTAGATCGACAAGCAGATCTCCACTCAGCATGTCTTTAATTAAATTAAAATCTCAATTGTCAGAAAAACAGTGTTCAGTGGGTGTAAGGCTGGATGCGCTTGTTGCAAAGGTCCACACTGAGCTGAACCACCACGAAAGAAAACGACTGCAGGGCACTTCTACCTCAGCAGCAGCCTAGAGCTGCCTGCAGAGGGAGCTGCCGAGAACCGACTCCAGGACAAAACCAGCAAGCTTGCACAAACCCTGCTGCTCGGCTTGCATCAGATAGCAATACACATTCAAAAGTGCATTTTGACTTCTACTTAAGCCACCGGTTTGAACACTGAGGCTGGAAACACACTTAGACAAGAATGTTACTTACTGATTCTTGTGTTTGAAGCCACTGATGTGAGCTTGGTACTGCTCTATGGAGTTCAGTACTATGTTACATGTGCTGCAGGGGTACCCCTTCCCAGCTGAAACAGACATCAATGTTAGCACAGACAGCTAGCCAACAACTTGGTGCCGGAGGTAGAAACAAGTGAGATAATCAATCATTTGATGTGTTAAACAACTGCTAAGCAAAGACAAACAGCAAGTCAATAGCCTGACCAGGCAGGGAGGATGCAGGATCCCACTACCTCAGCATGTATCAGCCAGTCACTGAGGGAATTGCTAAGCCAGGAAAGCTTTTCCTGTCAGAACATGGGTTTGTTTATCTATCAAAACGGACACATTTCCTATATACAGTTCATAATATCGGACACAGTCAAAGACTCAGCATTAGGAGTTGGGGCTGTTCGGCCTGGAGAAGAGAAGGCTCCAGAGAGACCTCATAGCACCGTCCAGTACCTGAAGGGGCTACAGGAAAGCTGGGGAGGAGCTTTTCACCAGAGTGCAGCGACAGGACAAGGGGTAATGGTTTTAAACTGAAAGAGGGGAGATTTAGGTTGGACATCAGAAGAAACTCTTCATGATTGGGGTAGTAAGGCATTGGAATAGGTTGCCTAGGGAGGCTGTTGATGCCTCCTCCCTGGTGGTGTTCAAGGTCAGGTTGGATGAGGCTTGTGCAGCCTGGTCTGGTGGGAGGTGTCTCTGCTCATAGCAGGGAGGTTGCAACCTGATGATCTTTAAGGTCCCTTCCAACCTAAACCATTCTATGAATAGGACACCAAACATGATGCTATACTGCCTTTGCAACTCCATTTCTCTCCCAAATTCCCACTACTCCTGATCTGTACATCCCATAACAAAAAACGAGGGACAGACCAGACTTCATTTGTATGCTTCAAGTGTTTCAGAAAAAAAAACAACAAAAAAAAACGCAGCCAGAGAAGATTACACACAATGTCCAGTTCCACAATGCAGCATTCTGCTAAGCCTTGCTGAGGTGCCAACTGAGATATTAAGCTCTATCCTCAAGCAGTTTGGTTACAGTCAGTGTATCAGTTAACTACAAGAAAAAAAATAATTTCCAACAATAGTTGTACTAGACAGATCAATGGTTTTGTGTAACATGACAACTCCAGCTGGCATTAAAGTTTGGGAGGTCACAGATACCAAACAGCCAAGTACAGCAGCACAGCTCAGCACAGGAATCTCTACCAGGGGAAAATCCTGGCAGTTGTCCTTAAGACATTATGTGCTCCTGAATGTTGGCTCACTGAGGAAGGGCTCTGCCTGGGAGAATCACAGGGAAAACATTTCCTTAAGCTGAAAGAGGAGACTCGTACAGGGGTGCAGAGCAGGGCAAACACTGAGTGAGAAGCACAATGCATGTTGTGGCAGATGTTTCCCCACCTGCCTGCTGCACCTCAGAGAGATTGTGGACTCAAGCGAGACATTCAGCTCTCAAAACAGAGTTGGACTCGGGTGGGAAAGGCCAGAGGAGCTGCTGGAGCCCTCAAGCCTGCCTCCCTGTGTGACTGAGGTCAAGATCTCTCTGTTGCAAATCTGACCAACAGGCAGGTGCATGAAGTTGTCCAAACTGCATTCCTGTACCCAAAACTGGTGATTCCTAGAGGAACTTTAAGCAGACAAACACCATGGTGTTGTGCTGTGGAGAACACATCCTCATCTGCTGCCAGACATATCCTAGCCAAGAGAAGTTCAGGGACAGGCATGGCTGTTAGCACACAGACACGGGCAAAGGGAGCAGGAGAAAACAGCCCTGTCTGCAGCCCATCAGAGCTGAACAGCCCTCAATTACAGACCAGGCTCTGAAGCCTCTCCTGAAGAGCTGAAGTGCCATGGAGAGATGTCCATAGGTACTGTGGTTCTGCTGGCACTCCAGAGGAGACGTCCCTCACACAGGCCAGGGCACTGCTACTAACCCAGCCTGCCCGGGCTGGGGCTCCTGCCACTGTAGGTGTCTCAGTCATGTGAAAGCAGAACCATTCATCAGGCCCTGCTAATTAGGTAAAGAGCAGATGGGTAATGCTAGATATCAAGCACCTTCTCCAGCTCCCACACGACTACGCGACGTGGGAGAGAATATTACTTGGATAATTGAGCCTCATTTCTCATAAGTACTACTGGTATCTAAAGGTGGCCTGCAAAGAAGTAGAATAATTAATCTCCTGCTTGTGTGGGCTTTTACAACAGAGAAAGAAGCCCTTGAAGAAGATTTTAAGATGATTTGTCTGCTGATTATTTACCTCAAACATCCAGCAGGTACTAGACTTCCTGGTGCAACAGAAGGCTGTTGGGAGGAACAAGGGAATTTACTGTGAGCTCCTAATGCTTTCACTGGACTCCAAGGGCTTTCATCATGTCAAAGTGCTCATAAGCAGCAGATCATAAACCAAATGGGTTTTAACTGTCTGCCTAAAGTTCCTCCTTAATAGCTCTTTGCCCCCCTCCACATTCCTGCTTGCTCCAGAGAGAGTTGCATGAGTTCATCAGATGGAAGTGCCCACACAGACAGAAAGGCAGTGAGGGAGAAATTTCTTTGGCTTTCATGTGCTTTGAAGCAGCAGGTGCAGTTAAACCTATTTCTTCCATCTTCAGCTAGTCCCTTCTGAAGACATTTTTTGAAGCATCAAATACCACTTTTATCTTTCCATTTTGGATGCAATCCACCTAGCCAGAAACAGCACCAGCCAAAATCCCTGGATTATCCATGCAGAGAACAAAAGAGACATGTCCCCCATTAGACACCACTGCAAAACACAACCCAAAGCTTGTCACGAGCAGCTACAGTCTAAAACCTCTCTTGCTGCCAGGGGGTTACAAAATCTACCAAATCAATCTTACGGTGTATAATCAAGATCCCCATCATGAGCAGTTCTCCTCTGCTCTCCCTGCATGGACTCTCTCACCCAAAGACCTATCAGACACATACCATTGCTCTCCCACCCTGCTCTCCAGCTATTTATTAGCCTGCCTGCTGAGAACTCACCCATGAAGGACGATGCTGGTGCATCAGGGGTTCGGCCGTAGTGTGCCATCAGCTTGTGTTTGGTCTCCTGCTTTCTGTGCTTCTTGCCTACATAATGCTGTTTTGCCATAAGGGGGTTGTTGAAAGTGGCATGGCAGAGGCTACAGAACTTGTCTGGGTCAGTAATGTCCTTGTTCTCTTCATTAGAAGATGCAGTAGAGGTGGGGAGGCTAGCAGGATGTTTCTGTGGGGACACTGCTTCTGCAAGGTGAATCCAAACTCTTGGTCAGTCGCAGAACTCGGAAGTAAAAAACCAGTAATTTTATTTCCCCAAAGCCAAAATACCACGTTTAAAACCCAAAGCTAGACAGCAAATATAAAACACCTAGATAAATTCACATTGTTTCTACCTCTTCCCTTGACATAATGGAATTGAAAGGCATGTGATAAGGCAAGTCAGAGTAGGTCAGAAAAACTTGCAGGGTTTAAAAAACCAGATTTGCACATTTCTCCTAAGTGGAGTTAATGTAAGCATGGCTGTATTCAAGAAACACTGGACATGAATGAGTTCTTGTCATCACCCATGCACCTTGTGCAACAAAGGCAAGTGGGTTTTGGACACAAGGTGCAGCTGCAGGACTTGATCCTGAACCAAAGTCACAATGAGCTGTGCCTGAGAAACAGCATGAACGGGACTAGGTCCAATGCAGTGAATCCACACAGAGGGGCAGCTCTCCCCTCTGATGGAGAAACCTGCACCCTCTCATTATGGAGTACCAAAGACCAGAGTGAGGAACCTTCTAAGGGCCAGAGAGCTCCTCTCCTG